GCATAGCTGGCTTAGTTACAATCTCCACTTATACCTTTAAATAGGTATGAGGAAACATGCAACATGAAACATTTTGATTTGGGGCTCCAACACCCTGACAGTTTGCAAATGCATAACAGTGGCATCATACGAAATGAACAGTATTAACATCACTTTCTTTCAGCTGAAAATCCACATGGTCACACTTTTACTCTTTTAACCTGTTTATTATTATTCCGTTTATGTACCTTGTGATTTAACATCATTCGTAATAGTGACTGGAAATGTTTAACATTACGTAAAATAAATTCTGACAATTTAACTAGACTAAGCATTGACGCCTCAAGTATTGCAACCTCTGGAAGATTTAAATTTATAATTAGCTTAAATTCACCAAAAAGTGTTTTTTTTTCTGACTGTAAAACAGATTCATCTCTGGAAAAAGGCAAGGAACCATAAAAATTGTGCCATTATTTATTATTTGGTGCTGAGCACATCGTGTTGCGGTAGGAGGTCACCCTTCCCATAATCCTCTATTCCCTCCATAGATTTTATATAAGATTTAGGTTGTGGATCCATCTAAGCCACTTCAAAATGGTGCTATTACTACCACAAAATATGTAGAAATTAATATGTAGAATAAATGTTACTCTAAACCTAAATGTGCTGATAGTATAAACTATTATAGTCTTGAATTAACTTGTTTGAGGCTAATATTATTATTTTGCTCAGCATCAATCGAGAAAAATTTCCTCTATTAACATAATCTGAGAAATATTTTTCTTTATTTGTAAAATATTCATATTTTAGTTTAGGTTGAACTGCTCATAAAGTTAGATCACAAAACTAATTGAATTGGGGCCCAGATTTTCTAGGTGCAAAAGCAATATGTTTTCTATCGTTATTAATCTAATTTACAAATTTGTATATGTAATGGTTAAAGTTTCTTAATAGTGTGATTTTTCCCAGTAATATCGCTCCATAGGTTATTCCATTATATTTTACTGCAGGGAATAATTTAATGCCTGAGTAGCAAATTTTACTGCCAAGGATTATATTAATAACAGTAATAAAATAAAAGGATGCATTCATTTGAAAGGGAGGATTTAATCTGGCTTGGAAAAAGGTTTCCAAGGGTAACTTGGGCCATTCTCTCTCTGGTTGACAATCCAGGGTTAATCGCTTTAAAAGCAGTAATTAGGTGTTAAGAGGTATGCTTGTCTGTTTAAATTAGCCTCCAAATCAGATTACACGCTGCGACTTCCGTTGATGACGCTCATCAGAATTCAATGCTCTTCAACTGACTTTTCAAATTATTTTTGGAAAGTCAAGTTTATTTATTTCGCACATTTCAGTCCGAAGACTATTTTATTACTGTACAAGAAAAAATAAACATTAAAAGGAAACACAAAGAGAGCAGCATGTTCGCATAAAAGTAAGTAATTATTAATCATGAATAATTACAATTCATAAACCTGACAATTAAAATGACTAAGTAATTATAACAATAAATAATAAAAATGTTGGATAGCTAGATAATACACTTTAAGACCACTCTAAGCAATTAGCTTCTAATGTTTTAAAGCATCTTAAGGTTTTAACACTTTTAAATTTTTCTGCAAGTTATTTTTTTTCAAGATTAGAACTAAAAGCTGCTTGTTCATACATCATCTGGCACTGGTTCTGTGTATGCAGAGTAGATTGAACCCAGAACACCTGAGAGGTCTGCGTGGTTGATACACGGACAGAAATCTGTAATATTTTTTTGGTGCTAAGCCATTCAGTGATTTTTAGACGAACAGAAGTATTTTAAACTCTGTTTTTAGAGAGACAGGTAGCCGGTGTAAAAACTTTAGAACTGAGGTGATGTGCTCCACTTTGTTAGTTATATGTATATATGGCTATATATATATATATATATATATATATATATATATATATATATATATATATATATATATATATATATGTATAGTGCTGCTCTAGGGACAGCAAAAATACTGTGCAGAACCCTCAAGCTCCCAGGCCTCTGATAGAGGACCCGAGCATATATATAAAAATAGTATTAGAATTGGGAAGCAAAATACTGAACAAAAACTATTGTCAGACTGACTCCTTTTATTTTACATTGTTTTCATTATTCATGACTCCTCAGTGTGCTTTGATGAGCTCAGATGTGGAAAAACTGCAGAAACCAGTCTGTTCTGTACGTCCAGTCTGTTCCTCTGCTTGGTTTTGATGTGTGTCAAAGTTGATGGTGACATATAAGAATACCTTACTTTTTGGTTGAAAAAAGCTTGCTTTATTTTTCAGGTGGGTCCTCACAAAGCAGAACAGATCCCAGCCCTATTTTAATGTATTACCTGAGAAATAACATATTTTCATGTACCTCTTGCAATGCACTAGTGGTATGAGTAGCCCAGGTCGGGAATCAATGTTCTATGGCACTGATTACCCCTTAAAATTGCCATTTATTGGAATGATAGCATCCAAAGCTGCTGCAAACAGCCACAATTCTGGAAGACCAAAATGAGGAGGAAGCCCATGAGATGATGCACAGGTCCTACTTGTTTGAACATTGTTTTTAGACTTCATCTTCACTCGCTACCAGCTGATTTCACCCAAATAGATACATTGATCCACTCAAGCAATAAACTAATTCTCCCAGTAATGTTATTGTGGTTAAAACAGGATATGGCAGGCCATTTTGATATGATATGAGCTTTGATAATAGTTTGACTAAATATATAATACTGAAATCTGACCATTTTAAAACAACAGTTTCAAACAAAACAACATTCTTCACATCTAGAATAGACATTCTGTATGTTTAGAAAAGAATTTCAGATCTCGAGGAGGAATAACTGGTCTTACAGGTTTGCACACTTGCCATATGCGCAGCAGCACACGGATCTGTGGATGGTGAATCTGCAGTAGGCCTACCTCTTCTAGCTGGTAAGGTTGAAGAAGCATTTTTAGGCCGGGAAGGGTTGAAGAAGGGAAGACAGGGATCCATCTTAAGCAAGTAGGGCTGGGGGAGTAGTGGGTAAGCCAGGTGTCCAGATCCAACGAGGAGTGAGTGCTTAAGTCTGGGTATATGCATGAGGATGCAAAAATAGAAAACAGCCGTTGCCAATTGACCCTTATCGTCCAAGACCTTGAGAGTTTTTCTCTTTTTCCTAATTCCATTATGGTTGTTTTCAGAACAGTGGAACCAAATGAACCACTCAAAGGAAATTTTCAAATTCAAATTTTATTTATACCACATTTTAAATTTTTTCTCTCTGTATTCCTTTTTTTATTGAATATTTCTCCCTGGGAGGATGATGTGGCTTTGTGGCATGTTTTATTTGTACTTTGTCATTTCTGATCTTTTAGTAGGGGATTTTAACTGCAATGCCCACAAAAGTCAGAAATGTCAGGGCAACATTCCTTGCCCAAATACAGCTTTTAAGATGGTAGCTCATACTACGTTTTAGAGTTTATAAGACAATAGGTCCATCCAAATACAGCAAATCAGTGAGGACTCTTTAGCCATAGAGAAATGCACCACAGGTTGCCATGATAAGTGCTGTCCAAATAGTACTGGACATAGGTGGGAACAAGTCATTGTTCTGATCTGCATAAATAAGTCTAGTCTTTGACCTCAAGTCCTGAGGACTTGTCCTGAGTCACGTTCACTACACTAGTCAAGTTGACTAGTCTTAAATCGGGTCCCAAGTCCTGCAGTTTGAGTTCCAAGTCCTTTTAACCGGAGAGTAAAAATACATTTACACACATCATGTACTCTTCTTTATTTATTTATGAAAACATATGCAAGTCCAATTGCAGTAAAAAAGATTTGCTGACATTGGCCATGCTTGTTATATCATAATAAAAAAACTTGATGGCATTTAATTTTTAAGATTATATTTTCTGTTGATTCTATTAAAAACATAAAATGTCCACATCAAAAACAAGTAATGAACAAAGAAGAAAAATAGTGCAGTGTAAACAAATTTTGTTTATTTTTAAATATAAATGTAGGGCATAAAAAGAGATAGGATGAAGTAAGGAATGCGCTTTAGAAGTTTGTAGATGGCTTTTAAAAATCTAAAAGTTGCAAGTCACCCGGCAACTTCATCATTATGCAATTTGATTTGATGGACGCTGTTGGATGAAAAAAAAACCAAAATGGATCAAATTTGATTGGACAGCACATACAGACAGACGCACACATATACACAATAAATGATACAGAGCATTCTGTTTCGATTCTCAAGTTTGTTTAGGCTCAAGTCTAATTGAAGTCACAAATTACTGATGTGAAATATTTTTTACATTTTGTCAAATTCAGTCAAAAGTCATCAAATATATGGCTCACGTTTGACTTGTATCCAAGTCATGAGACTCGAGTCCACACTTCTGGCACTTCAAGTAAGGAAAGAAGTTGTAAGAAGAACCTGAATGCTTCCTATAAAATTTTCATTTTCCACAGTGACCTCCCATATTGCTATCTGATGCTTAGGAACTATACGGTTTTTCCAAATTCTTTGTATAACAGAACCTAAAGTCATAACTCATCTCACCGAATTTAAATACATTGTTGCTTCATATGTTCTCTGTGTGATACATGCTAATGTTATATGTTTTGGTTTATATAATGGTAAACTGTTACTACATTTGTGTAACTTGCATATTTTGTAGTTCTTTTTTTAAGGGCTATAGTTACATTTTTTTTTTACAAACATAAATGTGCATTTCAATTGCAGAGCAAGGGTGGTTGTACCTCAATTGAAAAGAGCTCTGTATTGGTCTTTTACCCCTCGGATTCTAATTTCCTAAATCCTAAGTAATCCTGCTTTTAAAAGGTTTATTAAAGAACTTTGTAAAAAAAAAAAAAAAAAAAAAAAAAAAGATTTGCTGTATGCTAGGCCTCTAAAACTCAATAAAAGTGTCAACAATGGGTGGTGAGGTTGCTTGAGGACCAAGATGCAGAGACAAGTGAAGCAGAGATAGTTCTGAGAGGTTTAATTGCAGACCAAATAGCAGCAAAGGTAGAAATCCTGAAATTCAACTTAAAAAATAAAACAAATCAAAATCATTGAGACATCAAGGGAAAAACGAGTCTGAGGAGCCGGGGAGAGACAAGCAGAGTAGACAATACAGCAGCAACAAGAAGGAACCAGCACTGAGTGACTGCAGAGGTGGAGTATTTAAGGAGAACCAAACAAAAGGATGGACTAATGAGCTGAATGAGGAGCAGGTGTGGGTGGAACTGGCAAGAGGGAATCCAAGGGGAAAGAAAACAATCACAAGGGGGCAACAGAGAGTAACTAAAGAATGCTTGAAGATCATGGAAAATAAAAACAAAACAACTGATAACAGAAAATTGAAAACTCAGAGTCACAACAAATAAGAACCATAACAAAAAGTTAAAGAGGACCCATTATTATGTTACAAAGGAATTTTAACCTCTAAGATTGTACCTTTCTGAATCCTAGTTCACCCTTGTTCCAGAAAAAAAATAAATAAAAAATCACTCACTGAGTGAGTGTCTCACCACCATGTATTAATTTGAGTTTGTGGGTCCCAACACTGGAGAATACGGTGCCAAGGTTGAGCCTTATTTCTCTAATGGGCTTCTTCTCTTAAGGCTGGAGCCTTGTCTTCGGGTTGGAACCTGATGCTGGTTGAACGAAGTCCTTGGACAGTCAAGAGATATATCTTACAGTCCCAAGTTAGTAGTGGAAAAATTTGATTTTCCAAGAACTGAAAATACCTCAGTTAGGTTTATTTAAGATTGTTGCAAAAGATGAGAACATGGTGTCCGTCATATGATCTGAGTTTCTCTCACTTAATGTTTTTTTTTTTTTTTTATCCAAAGAAAGGAAAAATATTCAAAAGACAAAGTTAGAAGAAAAAAAAAAAACGCCCTGCAAGTTACTGTTAGAACGGATCTGAAATGTGTTGCAGCTGCAGATATTAAGTCTGGCAGATAATAAGAAGAATCTATTTTAGGGAAACAGATTTTTTTAACACACTTACTGGCAGAAATTTCACTTTACAGTCAGATCTTTATGACCAGTTTGTAGATATAAGGCTCTGTTTTTCCTCTCCTTCCTGCGGTTTTCTGTGAAATCCATCCTGATAAAAAAAAAAACAGCCACAGAATTCTCAAACTGTTAGATGGATTTACAGTATTTCAGCAGAAATCCAGAAGGTACAAACTTTCTTTACATTGTCCAATCTTATTATTGGGAATAAAGAAAATATAAAATTGACCACGATAGAGGATGAGCCAGGTTGTTAAGGGCCAAAATCACACAAAGTTCTTTGAAGAGCACAATCATTTACGTTTAGTCAGCATTGCTCCAGGAGGAGTTACAATGAATTTTTGAATATAAATGTGCCAGTATGGTGAGTTCCAAGTTGGTCTAAACAGAGCAGTCCAGTTTGTCAAAGTAAAGTTCAAAGATTCTAATCAGAGAAACCTTTACAAATTTATGTTACACTTTATTGGGAAAGGAAGTCCTATATAATTATTTAACTAGAGATAAAAAGCTAGTGTTGAGTTTTGAATTAAAACCTAATTCCCCTCTACAAAACAGGCTTTAAATATAGCCTTTAAAAAAGAAAAACTACCGGACATGTCAAAATAAAGGCATCACTTTGTAGTATTTAATATGTAACTGGTATGCTCAAAATAGAATACAATGTGATTAATTTAAAGCAAAATATTCCTCATATATGAGAGGGATCTTATATTTTCCTAAACATAACAACTATACTAGATTTGTACTGTATGACAAGAAGACATAAAAATGCTCTACAAAATAAAAGCCCTCACATTTGACTTAGTATATAATTAAAGTTTGTGTCTCAATGCTATAAATAGAACAAAATCAGTTTGGAACATGAACTGCAATAATATTCTTTTAAATGAAACCTATCATTTTACCATGTATTTATCCCTTCAGGATCATGTGTGCCCACATTATTTGAAACTATGTTTCATTGGCCTGATATATTTTATACACAAATTTTAAGCCTGTGGGAATGATTTCACATTGCATAATTAAATCTGGATTCTGTTTTACACACAGTCGGGGAACATCTTGGCACAGACACACGCTCAGTTTTACTGTTCTTAAGGTTCCTTATAGTTTTACCCTCATACTGGATATATAGTAAACCTAACCCTTCCTCAGAATCTTTGGCTCTGGTTCAACAACTATGCACAAAGTGATAGCCACCTCCAAACATTTCCTGGAATTCTTTTAGTTATTATTTTTATTAAGCTCAAACACAGTTGGGCAATGTAGCAACATATGGATCTACAGCATGACAGCAATTCCTAATTTAAGTAGCTCAAAAGAATAAGACGAAAGTTTTGGAGCTGCCGATAAATACTTCAGATTTAAATCCTGTTGAGATGTTGTGGCATGATCTTACACAGACCACATGATCCAATTGGCTTTGATGTAGCTACAAAAAAACAACTATGCAAAGAAGTGTGACCCAGAAATCCTCCAAAGCCAGTTTTTATGTAATGATCAATGGCCCTTTTAGCTACGAAGGGCGACACCACCACTGATGAAAGTCCAAATATAGCTATATATTATAAATAAAGGGATTACCTGCAAACTCAATCTTGCATGAACTCTGACTGTTGTTTTCTGAAGGAACTGTAAAGGATAAACCGTGTTTGTTTGTTTTTTAATAAGACAGGATTCTATTGTCTTGCACAAATCCTCTGAAAAGTTACAGGATATAAAAACAGTCACATTTTAACAGCCAAACAAAACATAAACAGCCGAATTCCTTGGATATTTAAGAATATTATCATATTAGAGTTTCTTGCTAAATATTTTCAGGAAGCTTTGGAAACACTACATTTATGTTTTAATAAACAAAACACTTAAAACACAACTCAGATATGTCATCAAACATTAGTTTGTTCAATAAAATCTTTTGTAAAACTACTACCCCTGACAAGACGGCTCTAGTCTTACATTAGTTCATATATCTAGATGCAGATACAATCTTTAATAAAGACATACACATTTATGGCCTTTTCAATTTGAGAATCTATACTTGACATTGTGATTGGCTAGAACCAAAGTAAACGAGCCCAATACGTTTTACCAATCTCCTAAGAGGTGGTTGTATTTAATAAAGACATTTAAAAAATCCCCTTCAGATTTAGTTCTTTACATCTTTGGTATCACACACCTTGAATGGTATTTAAATCAAACAGTCTTTTAGCACTCGCAAGAGGGATGTCCATTCACATTAGACAGCACATCACATGTGCTGCCAAGTTTTATCCATCGACTGAATGTGCTCTTTAGCCTTCATCCTGAGCGCGGCAATGCTGGAGCTCCTATCATCCTCTATGGGATACTTATCGTTGAAGGTTGGTGGGCATGGATAAGGAGGTGGACCCATGGGCTGCATTCCTTGGACCATGCCAGGTGGGCTGTTGAGGAAGCTGTGGCTAGAGTATGTAGGCTGCAGTGTCTGCGGTGAGCCCATAAATCCTGGAATGCTGTGCATGGGCGTGGCACTGGAAATAGGCGAACTTAGCCAAGGATCCAGCGGCATTGGGTTGGCCACTGGGCCCATGTTTGGAGGCATTGGAGGGCGATTGAAAGACAGCATTGGAGAATCATGCAGTTTCATGGTTCCTGTGTCCATCTTTTCTTGACGTCTCCACTTTGCTCTTCGGTTCTGAAACCACACCTGGAAGGAGAGTCAGTAAGACTGTACATTAAGTTCAGCATTGCACTTGCTGACATTCAAATAATACACAACATGAAAAATCAAAACAAATAAAACAAAAGCACCAGTAATGTCACTCATTAGTCTCATTTCCTCATCCTGCTTCTGTTTCCTTAAAAGGTTCCTTAATTTTGATTGCTAAGAAATTAGGCAGTTACCCGGCATTAACTCTGGTTTGAAATGCTCACTCATTCCGTCATTTACTCTTTTCTTTACCTGAACTCGAACCTCAGGCAAATTGACTTTCATAGCCAGTTCCTCTCGACTGTAGACATCCGGGTAGTGGGACTTCTCAAAGGCTCTCTCCAGCTCATGAAGCTGATACGTAGTGAAGGTTGTACGATTTCTTCTGTGCTTTTTTTTAGAGTGTTCCTCTTCTTTTGTTGACTCTGGAGAGTCCTCAGCAGCATCATCTTCCTTGTGCAGGTTGTTTATTTCTCCATCACACTTGTCACTGGAAAATAGGTCAGACTCTAAAATAAAAAGAAGGGTCAGTTAGATATTTCCTTGCACTTTACAAACATCCAATGTTTGCAAAAGGATCTAATAAACTGTATTTTTACTGTTACCTAACAGACATGTGCATGTGGACCCCGTATGCAAGTTTAAGGTATGAGACTTGGCTTACAATGGGCATTGTTATTGGATCCAGTTTGTTTTACTTAATATAAATTCTGTTAACAAAAACAGCTGGACATCTTACATTGGTCTTAGCAATGTCCCAGTTTTGTCAGCAAAAAACATACCTGGAACCTATATGAATGCAGCTGAACTATTCTGATGTTTCCCTCAAGAAGCCTGCATTTTACAGCTGCTCTGGATAATACTATGTGGGACCCAATTTTGAGCCCAATTGGAAGGGGGTTTGAGGTAAGGTAATCCAAAAAGTTACAAGGTAAAGATTTTTTGTTTTAGAAAATAATTCAAACCGCTGTTTTGAATTAGTATAGTTTAGGAATATATGTTACAAACCTCTCTAAATTGAACCTAAAATGTGAAGTGAAACATACAAGTTTCACAGATTAAAAAAAAAATCTAACTACCCCTTAATATCACATAAGGTCTGTGGATTAATGTTACCTTTTTAACAAGTCTTGCTTGGCTGAGTAAAGCCATTAGAATGATGACAAAACCAAATTGGCTTTAAAAGACAATAGTATTTGTTACTTGCATGTTTATATCCAGAAACACAAGCTTATTATCATATATATTAAGCATATCTCCTTTCCAATGTTAAATACTTGGTGAGCAAATGTAAGATCCATTAATATAATGTCAGAGCTATTGATTTGTTCTTTTTCAGGATTCACTAAGATTAACAAAGTCTAAACTTTCTTTTTAGAATTGACTAAATTAGATTGAATAAATTCAATGGTATCAGTATTAAGAAAAATCTCATCCATCCAT